GTGAATATGTATTTACACAATGTATTTGAGTGCTAACAGATTTCAAGGTCTTTATAAACGGTTATGATCTATTTGAAACATATCTTTCCTCAGTAATCTGTTTAGTGCAACAAATGTTCACTATTTGAAGAGTTAGATTGCTATTCAAAGGCAAAGTGCTGTTGCTAAGTTAGCAGAAATTTCATCATTGTCTTGTTCATCATCTTGTTCGTCATTGTAGCCCAGAATCCTGAAGTCCCCGCTCAGTGAATATTTGTTGAATGCATGAATGAGTGAAGGGAATCTAGAGTGAGACATATTCTTACAGGTAGAGATTTGGATGTCTGTAACGACATCTAAAATGCCCATTTGGCCTATAATTCCAGCACTTTTGGAGGCTGAGGTGGGAGGATCACTTGAGGCCAGGAGTTAGAGACCAGCCTGGGTAACATAGTGAGACCCTATCTCTACAAAATGTTAAAAATAAAAATTAGCCAGGCATGGTGATGTAGTTCGAGACCATCCTGGCCAACATGGTGAAACCCCCATCTCTACTAAAAGTACAAAACAATAGCTGGGCATAGTGGCGGGCACCTATAATCCCAGCTACTCAGGAGGCTGAGGCGGGAGAATTGCTCGAACCCAGGAGGCAGAGTTGCAGTGAGCCGAGATCATGCCACACAGCACTCCTGGAACTACAGCATGCCTGTAGTCCCAGCTATTTGGGAGGCTGAGGCGGGAGGATCATTTGAGCCCAGGAGGCTGAGGCTGCAGTGAGCCATGATTGTACCATTGAACTCCAGCCTGGGTGACAGAGAGAGGCCCTGTAACCTCCCCACGACTGCTCTCCACACCAAGCAGTCTCATCTGCCTCCTGTGCTGCTCATGTTTACTGAGTGCCTGTGTGGTGCCAGCCATGGGGACCATCAGCTGTAGTCCCAGGAGTGCTGTGTGGCATGATCTCGGCTCACTGCAACTCTGCCTCCTGGGTTCAAGCAATTCTCCTGCCTCAGCCTCCTGAGTAGCTGGGATTATAGATGCCCGCCACTACGCCCAGCTATTGTTTTGTACTTTTAGTCGAGATGGGGGTTTCACCATGTTGGCCAGATGGTCTCGAACTACATCACCATGCCTGGCTAATTTTTATTTAATCGCGGCAGCAGCCCTGGTGACAGACATGAAATCTCAGATTAGTTTATGCTCAAGTGATATGTCAGCAACTTATCTCCTCATTTCTGACAGAACTTGAAAACTTCAAAGTTGTATTTTTTACGAGAATAGTTTTAACAGCCTGCAGTTTTTCCTTTGTACTTAAAGCTGGCCCTGCTAGTGTTTTTAATATCTTTTCCCTACCAGCTAATCTCTTGCTGAAGAGTGGCGTAATATGGAAAATGCATTTGTGTCTGTGTGAGTCCTGGGTCCTGCTCTGGCAGTCACCAAATACTTTTTTTTTTGTAAGAGAGTCTCACCCTGTCACCCAGGCTGGAGTGCCATGACACAATCATGGCTAACTGCGGTCTCAAACTTCTAGGCTCAAGTGATCCTCCTGCCTCAGTCTCCCAAGTAGCTAAGACTACAGGTGTGCAACGCCACACCAGGCTAATTTCTTTAAATTATTTTAGAGGTGGGGTCTTGCTATATTGCCTGGGCTGGTCTTGAACTCCTGACCTCAAGCAGTCCTCCCAGAGTGTTGGGATTACAGGCATGAGCCACTCACCTGGCCTCACCAAATAGTTTAAAGAAATTACTCTGTTGCACACTTGGAGTGATCTGCCGCCCCCTCCGGATGACAGGTCTTTTTCTCAGGGCACCAAGAGGGCCCCTCAGATCCTTTTCCCCCCCCATTGGAAGCTCTGAGTCAGAAGCTGGAAGGAAGGTGATTTCTCTCTTCTCCTGGGCGTGACCAACCTTCCCTCCAGGTGCCAATGATTTCTCCCCAGCCCCAGGCCTGAGGCTGTCTCTTTGCCACTGGTCCTCGCAGGCCCTGGGGAAGTGAGCCAGACATTTGCTTCTCCTCAGATGTGTCAGCTGCTGACCTGTCCATCTGCCGTTCTGTGTTTGCAGTGGGAAGTCGCCAGAAGGGAGAGCACTCGGTGAGGGCAGCTGGCAAAGAGAAGTGCGTCTACTTCTTCTGGCAAGGCCGGCACTCCACAGTGAGTGAGAAGGGCACGTCGGCGCTGATGACGGTGGAGCTGGACGAGGAAAGGGGGGCCCAGGTGAGTCCTGGGGAGCTCTGCACCCCAGGGACTGAGAGGAGCGTCCTCTCCTGGGAGCCGATGGCGCTCGGCCTGGTCCCTCCCAACATGATTCTGATAATGGAAGACCATGTCACCCAAAGCACTTCAGTCCTGGTCTGGCTTCTGCAGATTTCAGGCTGTGCCTCCCATTTCTTTCTTCCTCCCACTTTTCGTAAGATGATCCCAGAGAAAATGTTGTATCTGCAAATAGGAAATCCACATGACAAGTGCAGATGGCCGATGGGTGACTTTGAAAGGTTTCCACCTAACCAGTCAAGGGACTGTGTGTAAAACAAAGAGATGCCATCATCCACTTCTCACAATGGTGCTGATTTTTTAAAGAACAGATCCAGGGCCAGCTGGCAAGCCCTCAGTAGGATGAGGATGCTGTGTTTTGGGTGAGAAGTGTAACTTGAGCAGCCATCCTGAAATTTCGTCACGAGAACCTTAAACTTTGATCAGTTGTTCCATGTACACGAATCTACCTGAAGGAAGCATCAGGTGAATGTAAGGACTGGGAATGACCATCACCTGTATTCACGGCAGCCTGAGTGGGTTTTCTGGAACAGGTCAGATTGGGTCACTCCCTTGCTGTCTGCCACACACACTGCAGTCTAAGTGGCTTCCCGGGGCTCCAGCACCTTCGTGGCGGGCCCCGGGCACCTCTCCAAGCTCCTCCTGCTCCTCTCCTCCACCCAGGCCACTCCAGCCTCTTCCTGTTCCACGGACCACCGCCTTCCACTCACCTCCTGCCTTATGCCTCATTCCACTATCTGGAAACTTCCCCTGCCTACTCCATACTGCCTCTACATACGTACCCCTGTGTACTGCCTCTTATGAGGCAGGTTTCTGTTCAAATGTTACCCACACCCTGCCCCCAACCCCCGCTCTATCCAGAGCCTTCTCATTCTCCCATCATTCTCAGTCCCTGCACTTGATCCCTTTATTTTCACAGCACTTCTCACCACCTAAAGCTACATGATCCCCCAGGAGCATGACAGACCGTGCAGCCCTGGCCTTACAACCCCATGGCCTTCTAACCCCAGGGCCTGCATCGTGCCTGGCAGGGACTGCTGCCCAGATCCGAGGCCTGAAAACATGTCTCTAACATTCAGATGATCTCTGCCTGGGTCTCGTCCACTCAGTACAGAGTACCAGCCATTAAGATTTAACTCTGGGATTCTTCGACAACAGGACAATGCCATGTGCAAACCTCTTTATTCTCCTGGATGAATGAGTAACAACAGCAGGGGGGAAGGCTGCAGAGACGTTCTTGCCAGAAATAGATCCACACTCACCCAGCCTTCCACTGTCCCAAGAACCAATCATGTTCCCTAAAAAATATTTTCTACTATGGACTATATTTTAGAAATGGTATTGGCAACAGTTGCATTTTAATTTATTCCTAATAATCATTTCAACTACCCCTTTATTTTTTTTTTAATTAATTAATAGATTTTTTTTTTTTTTTTTTGTGAAATGGAGTCTCACTCTGTCGCCCAGGCTGGAGTGCAGTGGCGCGATATCGGCTCACTGCAAACTCCGCCTCCCGGGTTCACGCCATTCTCCTGCCTCAGCCTCCCGAGTAGCTGGGACTACAGGCGCCCGCCACCATGCCTGGCTAATTTTTTTTTTTTTTTTTTTTTTTTTTTTAGTAGAGACAGGATTTCACCGTATTAGCCAGGAAGGTCTCGATCTCCTGACCTCGTGATCTGCCCGCTTCAGCCTCCCAAAGTGCTGGGATTACAGGCGTGAGCCACCGCACCAGGCCCCCTTTATTTTTTTTTTGTAAAGACCGTGAATGAAAATGCTTTTATCATGCCTTCAAAATCAGCCTCAGAGTTTGAGTCTTAATCTCTCTCATTTGAGCATTTTACCTGTTACCAATCCAGTGGATGGAGAATCATTTTATTTGTATTTGTATTATTTTTTTGAGACAGGGCCTCACTCTATCACCCAGGCTGGAGTGCAGTGGCACCATCACCGCTCACTGCAGCCTTGACCTCCCAGGCTCCATCAGTCCTCCTTCCTCAGCCTCCTGGGTAGCTGGGACTTCAGGCATGCACCAGTACAGGTGTGAGCCATGATCCAACCCTGGAAAATCATTTTAGATATGAAATACTGCCAAGAAATGGCAATTGGTTATGCAAAATGGGCACTGAGATTGATAAATTAACTCACAGTGAGAAATGCTTCCCCTCAGTGCCCCCTGACTACCAGCTCCAGGAAACATTTCTTCTTTAAGTAACGGTGTCCTAGAGGGAGGTGACTCAACCCTAACATTATTCATGGTGCAGATAACACCCGAAGGAAAAGTCTTCTCTAACAGCAAGGGAGAGGCTGAGCGGACTGCTGGGGTGGCCGCAAACCATCTATTTTCCCTAGAATGATTACCAAGTCAGCGATGAGTCATTCTCATTGCTGAGAGCTATCTTGTTAAGAATGTGTTTATATCAGTCTTGTGACATCAATAACCACAGAATACCATTAAAATATCAGGAGTCATGTTTTAAAGGAATAGTCCTTGACAGCACAACATTAAGTAAAGAAAATGAGGGTGTACATCACTATAAAGCAAGGCTCCGATTTTGTTTAGGAAAAGAAGACCCTCCCTGAGTAACACCCTGAGAGGCGACCGCACACGGCAGCGTTCGCAGAGCTTCTCTTTAGGCCGTAGTGTTAGCACTGGCTTTTGTTTGCACATCTTGATATGTTTCAGATTCTTCATGAGAGGCATGTATTGTTTTTAGGACTTCGAAAACCCCACGCCCGTTACCTATTTACCTCTGTTTACATTGGAAGGTCCAAGTTCTCCAGGGAAAGGAGCCCCCCTGTTTCCTGCAGTGTTTCCAGGGGGGGATGGTGGTGCACTCCGGGAGGCGGGAAGAGGAAGAAGAAAATGTGCAAAGTAAGTCACTTTTACTGCTGGAATTCGACTTTGCCTTTCCCTCTCTTGGAAGGAATTTTTATAAGCTGGGGGCTGAAAGTGAGTCTGTCTTCATCTAGTTGTGGCTCTACCTCTGAAAGCCTCCTGAGGTTTGCCTGATAACTCAGCTCTATGGGTGTTTGTGACCCGCCTCTCTCTGGAGGATTTACTCGGGGATTCACTTTGCACCCAGGAGGCTGGAAGGTGGTCTCCCCTCCTCTGTCTGCTGTTTTTAGGAGGAAAGAAAAATCAGTGGTTCTTCTATTATAAATTATGAAAATTTTGTTGACAAGCACCCCCCCACAAAAAAAAATCTTAGCTCTAGAGCCTTTTAAAATGTGCCTGTTATAGAACTTGTTGTATAAATCTTGGAAACATGATTTTTCTACATTGTGAACTTCAGATCACCTGCTTCTAACTACATAAGAACCCACTTTTTGGGCTGGCAGGAAGACCTGATGCCTCAGTGCTTGGCAGGGCTCCCTGCGCAGTGCCTCAGTCCCTCTAGTCCCCTAAGTCCCTGGCTCTGGATGGAGGTGGCTGCCATGGGCGACACAGCGGGCACCAGGAAGGGCGGCGTTCGCTGCCACTTGCTCACGTCCTGACTCCTCCGCGCCGCTGGTGCCCCCTGCAGGTGAGTGGCGGCTGTACTGCGTGCGCGGAGAAGTGCCCGTGGAAGGGAATTTGCTGGAAGTGGCCTGTCACTGTAGCAGCCTGAGGTCCAGGACTTCCATGGTGGTGCTCAACGTCAACAAGGCCCTCATCTACCTGTGGCACGGATGCAAAGCCCAGGCCCACACGAAGGAGGTCGGAAGGACCGCCGCGAACAAGATCAAGGAACAGTGAGTGTTGTGTCTGCGACGAGGCCCCCACACACGGGGCTTCCCAGAGGGACGGGGCAGGCTCAGGGCTACCAAGACTCCCAGCAGATCCCAGGCTGCTGAAAGTGACTGCAGCAAGGGATGGCTGAGAACGTGGTCGGGGGCCTCTGACATTCCAAGCAGAGAGGACACACATCTCAGTCCGGACCTCCGACTTGGGGGCCGCTCTCGCCGTCTGAGGGTTTACCTGGCTGGGTGAGCTAATGCAGGTGAGGAACCAGGGAGTGACTCTCGCGAGCACTCTGGGTTCGTTTTTCATAGTTGCCATTCTGCTTTTGGATCAGAAGCCTGGGGGCCTTTGATATTTAAAGGGAGCACGTTTCAAATACCTGTTAGGGATTTTGAGTTTTCGTTTGCCAGAACAGCGGAGTGTTAAAAAGCTAAAGAAGAGGGTGGGAAACTGCCACCTGTGTCAGACGACAAGATGTCCCCCATTCTGGAGAGCAGCCCCTAATGGGGAGGGATCCGAATCTCCGGGCACTTCCCGGGTACAGCACTTCCGGGTTGGGTTTTCTTCCCCTCCCAGGCAGGCACCTGCCCTTGGCCGCTTGCAAAGGCTCAGCACACTGTGAGACAGCACTGAGTGGGGACCTTGGGGAAGAGGGGAACCGGAAGGGCAGTGAAGGCCACAGCCCAGGGAGGACGCTGTGGTGGTCGGCCCCCCGCTAGGGTGGTCTGCCGCTGTGAGGGCAGAGAAGAGAACAGAGCAGGTCATCTCTCCACAGGGAGGCAGATGTGAAACAAGATGTTTCATCTGAAAACACTACCTATGGGCTAGGGCACGGGGAGGGGTGAGAAATCACGTGCCTGAGGTGGCCCAAGACATTTGGGGCCCATCAGAGGGTTTACTTGGACCACTGAGGAAAAGAAAAACAACGAAGAGCTCATTCACATATTCACTCAGTAAACATTTACTGAGTACCCGATGGCGCCAAGCAATCTGGACTTGCAGGACTTCTCCTATAAATCCTGGAAAAATGGTTTTTCTACATCATAAACTTTGGGCAACCTGCTTCTAACTCCAGAAGGACTGGAGTCAGGAACTGGGGACTTGGTGGTGAATAAGCCCGAGTCTCTGTCCTCATGAAGTTCATGTTCTAGCAGGAGAGAAAGACAAGAAATAGTCAATATGTATTGTTCTATATAAAAATGTGTGTAATGTTCATGACACATTAGATGTGATTAAACATCCCTCCCTAGGGGCAAGTCAGCTTCCCCTCCTGCACCACACACACTCATAAACCGCAGAGCACTTTTCCATTCATGAGGAAGAATTCCTTTTCCTTAGAAAGTAGAAGAGATGGTGAACTGATCTCCAGGTTTAGTTTTGAATAATTTTATGTCTGTACCCCATATATATATGTACTTACTATTAGTATATACCCACAAATATTAAAATTTTAAATTTTAAAAAAGCAGACAATAACAAGTATCGGCAAGGATGTCAAAATTGGACCCCTTACACATTACTGGGGAGGTTTAAAACAGTACAGCCACCTTGGAAAACAGTCTAGCAATTTCTCAGAAGATGTAACCATACAGTTACCATATGACCAGCAACTCTACTAGATATCTACCCAAGAGAAATGAAAACACTTGTATGGGAAGGTTTATAGCAATGTTAGTCATAGTGGTCAAAAAGTGAAAATAACCCAAATATCTACCAACACATTAATGGATGAAAAAAATGTGGCAAAGCCATACACTGGAATATTATGCTGCCATAAAAAAGAATTCAGTACTGATGCATACTACAGCATGGATGAACCTTAAAAACATCACATTAAGTTAAAACACTCAGTCACAAAAGAACATATATAATTCCATCTGTATGAAATGCCCAGAATAGGCAAGTCCATAAATACAGAAGTAGATTAGTGGCTTCTGAGGACTAAGGATGGGGGAAATGCAGTGACTGCTAACGGGTACAGGGCTTCCTTTTCCAGGAGATGAAAACATTCTGAAATTAGTGATGACAGTTGCACAGCTCTGTGAATATACTAAAATCTGTACACATAAAAAGAGTGAATTTTATGACATGTGAATTATATCTCAATAAAGCTATTATAAAGCTGTTATCATAATAGTAATAATAATTTTGGGTCGCCAGCGCTCTCCAGACTTATAAAGAACTCTTGGACTTTCTCCCTTGCAGATGCCCTCTGGAAGCAGGACTGCACAGTAGCAGCAAAGTCACAATACACGAGTGTGATGAAGGCTCCGAGCCACTCGGATTCTGGGACGCCTTGGGAAGGAGAGACAGGAAAGCCTACGATTGCATGCTTCAAGGTAATGTGGCTTCCGCAGCCTGCGATCTGGCTTTTTGGTTTGTTTATTTTTGGAAACGAGAGTCTTGCTCTGTTACCCAGACTGGAGTATAGTGGTGCGATCACAGCTCACTGCAGCTTCGACTTCCTGGGCTCAAGTGATCAGCCTGCCTCAGCCTCCCAAAATGCTGGGATTGCAGGCTTGAGCCACTGTGCCCCATTCATGTTTTATCTTAATTCTTCAGTCTGTCTGAAATCTAGTGTGATGAGTATTATGTCCAGCTGATTGAACAGTATTTTTCTTCCCGGGGGTGAGTTTAACTTGGACACCAAGACTTCAAATTCCCCCTGGCGAATCAGCTCCCAAGGCTTCCTGGGGACCAAGCCATCTTCCAGGGTCTTAGGGACTCAGGGCACCATTTTCTTTCTTTCCTCATAGCTGCCACCTGAGAAACAGCAGTCCTCTGGGTGTTGGAGTGGGACCTGGGGAAGGAAGCCAACCTCTTACCCCCTTTCCAGAGCCCTTCAGTCATTAACCTGCTTGGAAATACAAAGGCCGTGTCTGTATAGAATAGGCACTCCCGTTCACTGGGGTGAGGTTAGGGGTGTATATGGGCGCTTTCCCAGCTCTTCTCAAAATACAGATGAACATAAGAAGGAAAGTGAACTTTTGTGAAGCAGTTCCAACAAACCAGACACCAGCCAACACCTTACATATAGTAACTCCGTTAGTACAACCCAACACTGCCATTTTTACAGATGAGGAAACTGAGGCATACAGAAGTTAATCAGGTTGCCCAAGGCTGGGCAGCAATGGAGTATCCTCGTAACTGCTTCATAATACTCTGCCCCTCAATGTTTATTAACTTTTATATAGCTTTTTAAACATAATGCCTAGAAGATGTTTGAAATTATGGAGCAGTTAAAAAAAGAAATGAAGTCACTTATAATCACATTTCTCAGATGTAACAGAATTCGTATTTCTCTATCCTATAATATAATATCTATTTTTAAAAATAATATGTGGACCTACTGTTTTGTAACCTGCTTTTTTCCTTTATTATGAATAATTTCCCAAGTTATTAAAATTTAGATATGTAATGGCTGTGAGATATTCTATTATTCTGTGAACATATGCCACTGTCTACCTGGCAGTCTCTGGCAGCTGGGGAGTTGAGTTGTTTCTTGTTTCTGATTTTTCTCCCTTATATAATAATGCAGTTGGAATACTTTTTAAAATAATACTATACATTCATTCCTAATTGAGAGGAATTCCTAGATGTGGAACTGCCGTGCTCATTATGAAAGTCTGATTGCATGTATCAGCTCAGGCCAAGTTTTATTCTCACTCACAATATACAAAAGCGTTCATTTCTCAACACAATCATAAATTCAGCATATTATCTTTTTCCTCTTTGCCAAAAATTGATGAAAGGAGACAGATAGCTAAGCATTGTTTTGTTTTACTTGGAAGTACATATATATTTATATACATGTATAATGTATATAAAATACAATATATGTATATTTATGTTATATAACATATGCATATTTGTGTTACATATGTGTATGTGATATACACATACATATATCTGTGTGTATATATATGCATATGTATCTATATATATTTTTTAGCCATTTTAATTTCTACTTGGGTGAGTGTTCTATTTGTGTCTTCTGTACATTTTATTATTTTTTCCTTATGTATGTCCCTTCATGTATTAAGGATATTAACTAGTTGCTGTATTACAAATATTTCCCATTTGTTACTTGGCTTTTCTTTTCTTTTTAATTTTGCACTGTTGTTTTC